CCCCCCCCCCCTCCGGCAGCACCCACCCATCGCGTCGCCCCGGCTGGATGGACGTCGCTCCGAGGAATCGAGCACACACATGTGACCATGGCTTCAGGACTGTGGGTGGTTTTGGGCCCCTCGCCCCACGTCCACGGCATCTGTCGACTGCTCAACGGCCAGCCCCCACCTCACACAAACACACGCACATGTGGCGGATGATCCGCCCACCAGAGACACCGCACAAAGGCAGACCGACCCCTGCCACGCGAGACCCATCGCATGGCGAAGCGAACATGCGCCGGCCAGCATATCCCAACCGGATCCCCGGCCATGGCCGCTCCTGTGTGGTCCACGCCCCGCCCGAGCGGCCCACAGGACATACCGGCGCCAGCGGCGCACACGGTGCCCGGCACCGAGGCCAGTTCCGGTGCCACATCCATGCACTCGGCCGCAGCCGGGCCCTCATGCCCAAGCCCAGCCGGTTGTCGGGGGGCCGATGTTCTGCCTCTTGACACAGGCATCCCCCGGGGCCGGGTGTGTTTGCCCCGCATGCCGCCCTCAGCTTCACTCGGGCACCGCCGTCAGGCAGAGTGTCGTGACTCGACCACGGCGCACATGCCCTCCACGCAAGCAGGCGCTCCCTGGGCGTCGCGGCCGGCCACACCGCCGCGACGGCAGACAGAACGCCACAGGGCCTGACACAGAGGAGTGGCATCTCGCCTCGGCGACTCGCACCGAGCGCCCCGTGCACCGCCACACCAGGGTCGTCGAGGCACCCCCCCCCCTGTCTGGACCATACATGCCGCGCCCGGGCGGGCTCATAGCCGGCACCCCTTCGCGCGATGGCCCCCGAGCCAGCCGCCTACCGACGCCGCGGCGCGCCATGCACGCCCATGTGCCCAGATGAATGGACCGCCGCGCGAATGCCCCCCCCCTCCTCCCCATGGTGATGCATGTGCCCAGTAGGACGCACACCTACGCGCTCCCGTGTGCAGCCACATCCAAGCACACCCAGGCAAACATGACAAAGCCAACAAAACCCCACACGGCAGCAACTTCCCCTGGGCCCGGCCAGCGCTCAGGTGACCACGCCCCCAGCCGACAGCGCCATGTCCCAGGATGAGCATCCGCGAGGCTGCTCCCGTGCTTGTTGGCCTGTCACCCACGGAGCACGTCCCTCGACATGTGGCACGGAGGCCCCCTCAGTGGTGTCTGCCACGCGTGCCGCCCGCACATCACTGCCAGGCTGGTCGACTCCACCGCCAGGACCTCGCAGCACCCAAGCCATGGGCTATGGTCCCACACCAAAGCATCGAAGGAAGTACATACTACGCGCGGCCGGATGGAGGAACTTGGCGATGCGCCTCCTTCTGAGTGTACTCGCAGGCACACACACACACACGCACATGTATCTCCCTCGGGTGGAAGGCGTCTCTTTTCGGTGCGCGCAGGACACCGGGCGATGCACGTCGGCCCTGCTCTTGGCGAGCGAGCGTGCGTGCGCGCCGTGCCAAAAGAGCAGGCCCGCACGTTCACTCGCTGAGGGGCCCTGGGCAGGCGGGAGAGCAGTGGGCAGCGCCCCAGGCCACCGCCGCCACGCTTCCCCTCTACCAGGGATCAGCGAAAGCGGAGGTCAAATGGCCGGTTGCTGCTCGGGGAACAGGCCACCGGACATGCCTTGTTCAGCCGGCGAAGTGGCACGCGGGGACACCCCCCTCCGGCGGGAGCAGTCGTCTCTACTCACGCAGAAAGAGCGCAGCGCGAAGTCCCGGCTCTCAGTTGGCCCCAGGGCACCACTGTGCACACTGTCCCCCTGCCCCCTCCATCCTCTTGTCCCGTGCCAGTGCGATACCCAGCACGCCGGATTCAATTCGATGTTTCAGATCCATCACCCGCCGCAGGCATGAACCCATACCCGGCCGGCAGATACACGACTCGTCGGCCGCCTCTCCTTCCACGGGCACACCCGTATGCAGGGTCCCAGTGGGGAAAGCACATGACCCCCCCCCCCCCCCCCGTTGACAATACTGGGGACCATGCCCGGAGGAAGAACGCCGGGGGACGCGGCCACAACCACTCGCTCTCGCATCTGACCGCGGCACAAGGAAGCTTCACAGAAGGACGCGATCTGCCACCCCCTGCTGAGGACCTCATGGGCCAGTGCCACAGCGAAAAAAAAAAAGAAGGAGGGGGACCTTCTCTCGAGTGTCCCCCGGCATGCAGAGATATCCAACGCGTCATGTCTGCCTGTCCGGTCGGCTCGGTGGTCGTGGTTCTGGATTAGCCTCCATACTCGTCATTGGGCACACCATCATCCCCCCCTAAGCAGAGAAGGTCTCGCAGTACCGAGAGGGGGAAAATGGAACGGCCAACCACTCGCAGCAACTTACCGCGGCAACATCTCCCCGTCTTCCGGCAAACGGCCTGGAGTGATGTGAGGGCTTCACCGAAAAAAAAAAGGAGCACACACGAAGTCCCGGTGGACCCGGCTGTGTCCACAAATGGGGAGAGGGCAATCTGTTCACCGCCTCCCGGGGTCGGGAAATCTCCGAAACCACAGATCACCCTCAACCCCACCAGGGGGCCAGGGTGGATGGTCGGCTCCTGACAACAGGCCAAAACACCGAGCGGGAATGCAGCACTCCAAGATTGGGGGGCAGCCACCAAGCATGAGGGGGGCCCTCACAGGCACGCCCTCGTGCGACAAAGAGGCAAAAACACCCGGCCGGCTGAACGGACGGCCATGCCGCGAGAGAGGGCACAATGGAGCATGTCAGACACGAGCGGCCGCACCCACACGCACACATCCACATCGAGAGGGAGAGTAAGTGCCAAGCTTTCATCAAGATCCGCATGTGTGCATCGACAGGATGCTCTCCCTCCAAACATGGGGTCCCGGCGACGCCGGCGACGCAAACATCGCGTCCGCTCTCGCACCTCGCCTGTGTCGCCGGCCAACTCCACTCGGCGCGTCTCCCACAGGGAGAGGCAGGCATCCCTCATCGCGCAGATGTGTGTATATATGCGTGTGTGTGTGTGTGTGTGCTCCCAAGGAGCCAATTATCCCACGAATGGGGGAGAAGAGCCGGAGAAAAATCACACACGCACACGCACAGACAGACAGACTCAACCACGAGACCGAGGAGAGACAAGGGCCCCCGCACGGTGCAGGCACATGCCGAATCGCTCCCGAGCACGCCGGGAGGAGGGAGAGACCGGACTCCATGGTCGTATGCGCCGGTCGCGAGCCAGCAGGCAGGCTACCCCGGCCAGGCTCTGGCCAGCCATCCACCCGGAACCGGGGCACGGTCGTTTGGCCCGATGCCGCGACCGGGGCCAGCTCGACCAGTAGCCGAGGGGTTCGCCATACGCACGCCCGTTCGCGGACAGCCCACAGAGCGGACGCGGGGCAGGAACAAGAGGGCCAATGGAGGAGTGGCGCAGGGCAGGAGCAACGGGGGAGATAGAAGCTGGATGCCTGCACCGGCCCCCCGCCGAGGGACCCACCACGACGGGACAAAAATCCCCAACGCCGGGAGTAAGACTTCCCCTCCCCTGGGAGTACGCACATAGGTGGGACGAGGGGAAGGGGAAGACATACATGCAGGCACTCAGGCACCCACCCACACGCACACACGCGCCGTGCGCTCGCAGAAATGACCAGCCAGTAAACGTGGCAGGTCAATTCACCAGCCCAGGCGTCATGCCCTACGGCACACCTGAAGTGGAATCCCCATGTAAACGATAGATTAAGTAACACGTGAGATCAATTGCCACACGTGCTACATCTTGGGAATTATAATATCTCAGAACAGCATCCCTCTGAGAGGAATGCGGGGTAGGACAATAGCCAGGCGACTGCCGAGGTCAAGCGACATGGGCGCTCGACCGAGGACGGAGACACGCGAGTGGGCGGGCCCAGTCGCGGGGTTCTCACTTCCAACCCCTGACCGAATCCAAAGGTCAAAAGGGGGACTCTCTTCGAGAGTCTCCTGAGAGCGAAGGCCATAGCAGCTGGGTGTCGAAGAGTATACGGAAGTATAGCCGAAGCACCAGAAAGGCCGACGAACACCTGTTCTAAGGTTTCCTCTCGAACCCATTTTAACATTCGAGTTCTTTTCTATTTTGCTTGCCACTAACTCGCCTCAAGCCGAGTTACTGACTCATCTGTTAACAGACGACCGTGAGCCGTTGGTTGGTATGTCTCGTCCTTCGTGCCAAGAGGTTACTAACCGGATGGCAGATCACACCGGTACCCTTGTCAAGCTTCACTCACTTGACTTAGGCTTAACCCGTGTGAACCTTACTACAACACCATATCTAATATGTGATCAAAATCATTATCCACATAACCCACAGGGACACTTCCCCCACAATGTGCCTGGGTTGGGCTTTTGGATCCTCCTCGAGGGCCACATCGCCCGCCGGACACAGGCAGGAGAATGGCCTTCTTTCCTGCGTTTCCCGCCCGGCGAACCAAATTTCCTCCGGCCTCTACTTCGGTAGCCACTTTCTCTTCTACGGACATCGGCTAAGGCCGCCAAGTTAAGTGCTCTCGAGCGCGATGGTAGCCGCGTGGCCTCCCGGCCGTCCCGTTTTCCCCGGTGCGTGCGCACGCTTCTCGTGTGCGCCGCGGCTGTTCGCCAGCTAGCTGTTCTTTTGCTTTCAAGCATGTTCGAAAATGGTCTGCTTCCCCTCGACCAAGCGGTGCTCGCGGGGGCTGACCGAGGGTTCAGGGGGTGACCTTCGACCCTTGTTCGAGGTTATGCGATCCCGGTCATTGCCGGCTATTGGCCACACCCAGCAGGGCCCCCCCCCCCTCTGCACCTCCATCGTAAGGCTGCCTCTCGGGCGTCTCTCAAAATAGTAACGGTTTCCAAGACCTTCGTCGCGACTCGCCCCTCTGTGTCCCGCCGCCCCCCAGCGCCCCCGAACTCCACTAAACCGGGCTCCTGGGTGCAGACGATGCCTATTACGCAAGGCTGGGCGGATGCGCTGGTCCGCCAGCACCCGTTACCCCAGTCATGAAGCCGCAAGGCAGTACTTCTGAAAAAAGAAGAGAGATGAGGTGTCCCTTTGGGTCTGGAGTGGGATAATTCCGAAGCCCACCCCAGCGGTGAAGTTCGGGGAGTCGCCTGAAAAAACTCATTTATGGGCTTTTTATAGTCCGCTCCACAGTGAGTCCTCCGTGGCGACTGTGTTGGGCGCGAAATCATAGCAAAGCTGGGCGAGACCCCCTCGTTCTCGTTGCCAACCGACCGCCGCCGCCAGCCGCCCTCCTCCACCACCCACACCCATGTGGGGAGCGCACTCGAACGAGGCCGGTTATGGCCCGGTCTCTTCAATCCGCCTGGAGGATGCCCCCGGCCGCCCCCCCCCCCCCCCCCAGCGTGGACTCCCTCAGTGGTGCAGGCTAGTCGGCCCGGCGAGGAGAGTACGCTTGAATTCTGTGTGTCTGTGTGGGTGCTCACGGCCGACACCCGGCGTATCGGGGCCGAGGCGCTGCGAGCCCGAATGTCACCCCCGGGAGTGGCCGCACCGCCACCGAAAGGAACTCTGCCACATGCTCGTTGTCATGACGTCGGACCGGGCCTGCACTGACCCGCCCCCCGCGCCACTATATAAGGAGCCCCCCCAAGCCCACCCTCATCCCAGGGATCCGCCCCCTTGAGGCTCCCCGTCCCTCTCAGAGTTCACCAGACTCCTTCCGTACGTCTTCACTTTTCGTGCCCTAAAGACATCTCCCGAACCCTCTCCTTCTTCCTCCGTCGTCATGTTTGCTGCTGCCCGTCACCGCCTTGGACACATGTTCATGCACCTCAGTGCGCCATTCCCACAGGCCACTCGAGCCTCACACGCCATCAATCCACGGCGGGACTCCGTTTCCACGCCTCGATGGCTCACGTGTGGATCTTCACCCAACACCCAGTGTGTGGGTGCAAGCACTCCCCACATCGACATGAGGGTAGGCAGCGGCAAATGCCGAGTTTTGCCTACCCCACTCTCGGGATCCCCTCACGGATCCCGTCACAAGCAAGCAGCATCCTCCAGGGCCCGTGTCATGATTGCCCTTATTGGCATCTTCGGGCCCTTGACCCTGACGATGGGCATTGTGTGTCATTTCACTGCCACACTTGCCCCCCGGACGATGAATCTCGGAGAAGGACTTCGGCGACGTGCGACTGAGGACGATCAGACTGTGGTCAACTGTCTGCTTCTTGCTGGACACTAGCGTCGTCCAGTATTGACGGTTGGTACAAACTGAAAGGGGACGCCAAAACCTAGCCACTGATTGACACATTAGAGTACGTATGCTGTCCGCGCCCCTCGCTCCCTCTTATCCCCACACACCCACTAACTCTCCTTCTTCTTGTGTGCTATTTGACTGCCGGCGTCTCTTAGATCGTCGTCGGTGGTTTGGGGAAGGTCCCTCCTGAATAATATGCAGATGCATATTCAGAGGGACGCGGCCCCCCAACTTAAAAATTGAATTCTTCACTCTCCGGGGGCGAGGCCAAGAGAGAGGGACAAGGCAGGCCGCTGGAGCGCATGTGCTCAACGGCAGAAACTCTCTCCCTCAGAGAGGGGAGGTGGCAACCACACGACGGGGGCGCCCTTGAGCAGCCTCAAAGAGGCCAAGTCGCCTCTTCAAGGGAGGGGGAGAGGGGAGGGGGGGGCCTCCTGAAAGCACTGTCGCCATTCGGGGAAGAGAGGACCCACGAGGCTGTGCGCCCTTGTGTGGCATAGGGCAGAGGAGAGGGGGCCCGGGGGTGCAGCTGTGTCCGGCCGGCCCAAGGGGCGAGGTTGGCGTGGCAAAGGGAACGTAGCATGTTCGGCACCACCGGATCAGCGCCGCCGCGCACATCGGCCTACTCCCTGCCCCCCGTGCTGGAGCCAAGTCGTTGACCTGGGCCCACCGCAGGGGCGAGGGTGAGCGAGAGCCCCATAGCCGGCCGCACCCTCTCGGAGAGACGAGGCGCGGCTTCCGGTGCCTGATGGCGAAGTCCCGGGGAAGTGTGTCCCGCACAAAAGAGTCCGAAGAAACGCCCCGGGCCACGGCGTGCAACCGAGGACGAGACCGAGGCGGGGAGGAGGGACAGGGCATGTATTGGGAAAATACAAATGGCTGGGGGCGGCGGGCTGAAGGAAAGGCCCCAAAAAGCCCCCGCTAACACCCAAAGACAGTCGGCAGGGGTGACGCCCTGCTAGAAAAAAAAATGCCACCCCGCACAGACAGAGGAAGAGCAGTTCGTAGAGGGAACCACCAGCCGGGCAAAGAGTACAGAAAACCGTAGCCGGGGCCCGCCATCAGACCACACAAGTCCAGCCGAACATCGACGCGAGTCCGGCTCCTGGCCTCGATGGAAAAACGGAAAGTGGCCTCGAGCATGCCTCCCCCCCTTCCCCCTCGCACACACCGAGACAACCAACGCGCCATGCCCAGGAGGAGAGATTTGACCGTGTCTGCCTGGAGAAATGCCCGCGGCCAGGGGGACCAGGGCTCCGAAGTGCCGACCTGCCCCGGCAGTCGGCGCGACGCGGGACTTGGCCTCCCCGGCTTACCATCCGAGGAAACCAATGCCCCGCGTGGAGGGGGGAGGAGGAAAGTGGAAATACCAACCACTCGCACGGCAACACGTCACGGCAACATTTCCCCGTCTTCCGGCAAAAGGGCCCGCAGAGATGCGACGGCGTTGTAGAGAAGGCCCACATGGTGCCGGTTTCATGGGGTGGGCCTTACACAAAGTGCAGATGCCATCCCGGGTGTCCGCAAATGGGGGACGGTCAATCTGACTATGCCCCGTCCCCCACCCTCGGTGTGGAAAGCTCCGAGGCCGTGGACCAGCCAACCCATAGCTGGGAATTGGACTGACCGATCGCAGGTCGGAGCACCGAAAGAGACAATGCGACACCACGACCGGAGGACAGCCGCCAGGCAGAAAAAGACCTCACGGGAACATCCTCCCAGAACAAAGAGAGGAAGACATCCGGCTGGCCGGGAGAGCAACAGGGGCTTCTCCTGCGCGCACGCCGACGCAGTGTCCTTCCTGCGGGTCCCTGGGTCCCTATCAGCAGAGATGACGCAGACACCACAAGAGAGAGAGAGAGAGAGAGAGAGAGGGCGCGAGGTGTCTGCATCCCTGACCGGCTCTACTCAATGGCCATCTCAGGGGGGGGGGGGGACCATCCCCCATCGTGCAATTGTACGTGTCTGCCCCCCCCCCCCCCCCTCACTTAGAGAGCCAATCCCCCAGGGAGAGGAAAAGAAGGAGAGTCGGGGAAGCGACACATGCACTGGCTCGTCCAGCAGGCCGGCAAGAGGCACAGGGGCCCCCAAATGCTGCAGGGGAGTGCCGAGCTACTCCCAGCCAAGGCGGGAGAGGGAGATCAGAGAGTCACAAGAGAGACCAAGTACAGACCGTGGCCTGTTTCTCACCCGGCAGGAGCCAGCCTCGCGCAGCAGTGTACCCGGAACCGGAGCGCGGCCATCCGCCGGTCCTGCGACCCGGGCCAGCTCGACCGACGGGCGAGGGTATCCACATGCACATACGCCGATGCGCAGCAGAGGTAGAGGGAATGCGGGCAAGAGAAACCAGAGAAGCAAAATGCCCAAGAGAGCAGGCGAGCAATGGATAAAGGCCAAAGGAGGAGAAGGCTCTACTGTGCGGGAGGAGACCGCGTGCACAGGCACACCAAGCTCACACATCAATCCACACGCGACCACACAATTGGTCAGAGGGGGGGGGGGGGGGGAAATCCCCCGCAACACGGCGACCGGGATAAAGCCATCGAACTCAAGTTACTGCCGATGGATGCGCCCGCAAAGTAAAAAATTATAATGCATTTTTACATATGACAAGAAACTTGCCAATACCCATGCATGACACACCCTGCCCATATGCTGGGTTCGGTGTCTATAAAGCACAGCTCGTGATATGACTTGTGATTCAAGCGACTACGAATGCTTGGAAGGATGCCCCAGCCTAGGTGCATTAAAGGCTGCGGTCCTCAACCCCTCTATCGATGCTCCTGCATAGCTTCCTATTTTACATTCTCCCTTGTGTCCAGATGTTCACGCGGCTGCTCATTCACTCGTTGCCCCCCCACCCCCACCCCCAACGATCCCACCCAGGGGTCACAGCGCTGCGTTTCAATGTTCTGTGCATCGGGCGGCCCCGAGCCCAAAAGGGGGTGTGGGTCTTCCTCTCCCAATGCATGGCCTGCTTTTTCTTGATGTCTTTCCATGGGTCCCATCCTTTCTCCAGTGGATGTTGTATACTATACCCACCACCTCCCCCACCTTCATCCCGCATCCCGAGCCATTGCCACGACCAGCCATCGCCCAACAGGGGGGTGGACAAGGCAAAAGGGGACACTAGCAAAAAAAAAATGTTTCCCTTCGCGCGAGGAAAGCAGCTACCCAAGCTTAGAGTTTGCTTTGCCACCCCTTCACTTGCTCTTCAGCTCCCGAGCTTATGTGTTACTACTCTCGGTCCGCGGACCCTATTAACTTCGGCCCGGCGCAGTGTGGCGGAGCTGCCCAGTGGCCGAAAACACCCCTGTTCGCTTGGCCCTGCGGTTGGTGATGGCTCATCAGCCGGCAAATATGCAGCCTCCTGGCTGGAGACCAGAAGGCTCACAGCCGCATCACGGCAGGGCCACCCCCCCCCCCCCCCCCACACACACAGCCAGCACATGGCCAACCGAAGCATAGTATGCTTATCTCCTGGTGGAGCAGCTCCTCCCGGACGCGAAGAGGCGCCTCCCCCCTCCTTGACCATCTCGCCTGCCTGTGTTGCCATGCACCCGCCTGCGGCGACACCCAGACGGGCGAACTGTCGTGGTACGGAAGAGGAGCCATGGCCCCACAGCCAGCGCAGCAAATGGCATACCACTTGATTCCGCACACTGCTGGGATTAGAAATCGCCATACCCACACTACAGTCGGCCTGCCCAAGGGGGGGGGGGGCTGCCCGCAAACTGCCCAGGTGGGGGTTGTTCACAAATGACAAGAACCGAGGAAAAGCCGGAAGTCGTGGTCAGGTTGCGGGGGGAGGCGTCAGGGGGAATGGTATTCTCTCTTCCCATTTGAACTGGATGCGGGCGATCTGCAATCGGGCAAATATGCCGACAACTCACAAGGCACTGGATATGGCCCGGGTCATGCTTGAGGTATTCCCCGCAGCCGTCTTGCACGATGCTCCCGCAAAAGACACGGGTCCTTTCTCCCTGCCATTGCCGACGGATGCTTGACTCACGCGCGCACAGGTGGAGCGGTCATAACACACACCAACATCCCCCCTTAGTCGCATGACTACACCGCGAAAAAGAGCAAGCCAGGGGGGAGGCGGTAAAGTCCACAGCATGAAAGACGCCGTACTGCCCACATATGTGGCCTGGCGTCTCCGCGCGAAGGCAGGCATGCCGCCTACCGGACCATTCCTACTCTCCAATACAAACATCTGCCCGGGGATACACCCAGCACGCGGGAATGGGCCCAGTCATATCGAGCCCAGATGGGCACCTGACGAACATCCGGCCACCGCAAGCAAGGACGCCCCTCCTCCAACGAAGCCTGTCGTGCCCCCGCCCAGCAGGAATTTAATCGACTTCTCCCGGAGGGCAGGTGCATATCATACCTTGCAAGCGCGTGTGGCATAGTCCCCTGAAACCCATCAACCAAACTGGGATAAGAGTGAGAGCGCATCCCGTTTAAGGATAAGAGAGAGAGTATTGGCCGTATTCAGCAAGGGGAAGGCGCTCAAGGGGGGCTGAAGATGATCATTAGCCGTCTAAGTATGGGGTCTTGAGTATTGTTCCTGAAGCTCGAGTATCCGACTTAATCAAACAGAGGGGCCAAGAAATGATGTCCACAAGGAGGAATAATGTTGGAATAAAAATGATGCATCCACGAACTCATACACGGCGTTTTATGGGCATCATCACCTAATGATGAATTGTTCTTACTTTGCGCACTTTACTATGTCTAATAATTTCTATAACAACCTCGTGATGGTCCCTCATGGTCGCGGAGAGCCTGCCCCTACTCCACCCGAACGAGGCTCAAGCCTTTTTGTGTCTCTCCTCGTAGAAATTGGCCCTGTGTCTCTTCACGCGGAGTGGACCTACCTGTTCAAGTGGCCGGGACAGGCTCCTCCGCCGAGCAGTTTTCCTTTGTCCAGCCCTTGGGATATTAATATCTCATGGCATGGCCGCAACGTGTTTCTGCTCGGTACGGTTGGAGTTCGCACCGGAGATATTCCGGTGGACTCCATCCCTGCATCAGACTGGTTGTTTACCTTAGAAATGAAAAGACTAAACCAAAACCAAAATGAAAAACCAAAGATCAGAAGACTGTCGGACTATTACCTGTGGCTCTCAAAACTAAGTAGTTGCCAAAAGAGTTAGTTCCAGTTACCTGATCACAGTGTATTCTACACTAAGCAAAATTACCATCATATATCACCAAAGGTGATATATAACTCCGTGCGGCAAAGTGATTAGCAAAAGAACGTTTCGAATTAGAATTGATGCAGACGACCTTGAGGCCTTTCTTAAAAATTGAAGCTTGTTTTTCCTTTTACGCTTTTTTTATAACTCTCTTTATATTGACACCTTCGCGAGAGAGGGAGGGAGAGGGAGAGTTTTTTGCGCCACCGGGGGCGGGTTTTTTTTTTTGCAGAGACCCAGCCGCTTCAGTTGATGGGCGTCTAATTACTTGTTCTCTTTCCTGCGCCTCTCCCCTCTCCCCCCTGTTTCGTTCCCTTTCCTCTTCTTTTTCTTCTTCCCCATCAGAGTATATGTTTGGGGGGAGTCACATGCGAGAGAGGGGACAACCTTGACGTCGCCTGGGGAGACCTTTGCGCGTGAGGAGGTGTGATCTGCCAGGAGCCGATGTGACCGGTTCCGAGCACACACGGCTTGGCGGCCCTTTGTTGCCCATGAATCTGCGTCTGCCTCTGCCTGCGGCGAAGACGGAGAAAGAGAGGGAGCAAGGACACTTCGGCTCTTGGAAGTACCTATAAGGGACACTGGTAAAGGTCGCCTTGAGCCAGCTGAAGCGTTCCGTCCCGAGAGGCTCACCAATCGGATGAAGGAACAAGCACAAAGAAGAGGGTAAAGCTGGCGGCCTGCATCTTCATGGTAGGGGAGTACATCAGGGTCTGAGCCACACCCCCCTTCCGGGGGGACCGACGTACGGAGACAGAGCAGCGGCAAGTCACACTCGCTGTCAAGAAAGTGACTATCGAGGTGCTGACCCCTTGCAGGAGAGGCAGGAAAGGGGGGCCCTTATTTAGGGGGGTCCTGAAGAGGGGAGATACATGGGAAAGGAGAGACAAACGAGGTGCAACGAATCGCATCCAGAGAGGGGAAGGGGGGGGGGGGGGGGGGGGGTCGGCGCCGGTCCCTTCCCGCGGAGGGTGGAAGGTCAGAAAAGGGGTCTCCGCGTCATCTGATCACGCCGGAACCCAATGTGGCAGAGAGGCAACAACAGGCGGTAACGGAGCAGGGGTAGGTGAAACGAAGGTCCAACCGTACATTGGGGGCAACCTATTGTTTGGGGAGGGGGGGACAACGAGCAAATGCGGGCCCAGCTCTCATCCCCCCCCCTTGTTAATGAGCCCCGCTCCACACGCCAATGTGACACGCATGCTGGTCCTTCCTCTCTTGCGGCAGGTATGGCTGATGCCTGGACCGGGCGCCGTTAGGTGTCGCATCCGTTGGCACATTCAACCCCCTCGACCAAAAGGGAATCCATGGAGGCGGAGGGTATCGATCCCCCTGCCTGCCGCATGCTAAGCGGCCGCTCTACCATTTGAGCTACGCCCCCGGTGAGGTGCCTGCCCAGTGTGGGGCTTTTGTGCTTTGTAACCATAATGTCACCTCCGACGCTGCGTCGGAACTTCGCTCCGCTCACCTCCTCCGCACCTGCCTCACCTCGCCCTGCTTTGTTTTCCCCTGCTGTCGCCTCCCCGCCAAAATCTGGTCACGCCCTCCACGTGATCAAATGGCCGGAGATCCATTTTTCTTTCCCCCTTTCCCCGTAGGTGGGTGTTAGCGTCGCCCGTCAACGATGCAACCCATTCTCTCTCGTTTTCCCCTTCTTTCCCATGTATTTCCTCTTTTCCGGGCACCCCTATATAAGGACCCCCTTTTCGCGCCTCCCCTCCAAGGGCTCAGCACCTTGAAGGATAGTCATTCTCTTTGCGGAGGCCGTGACTACCCGTTTCCCTGCCTCTGTACGTCGCTCCCCTGGAGCGGTGTGACTCAGTCCCTGATGTACTCTCTATAAAGACGCAGATCACCAGCTTTCCTTTCTTTTGTTGTTGTGTCCACGTCCGAGTGGTGACCCTCTCGGGACGGAACACTCTGGGTGGTTCAGGGAAGACCCTCACCGGTCCCCCAGAATCACACACCAGAACCAGAGTGTTTCATGCGTGTTTCCGCGCCCCGGCTGGCCGCCTGGTGCCGCCGACCAGTGGGGAGGATCCTCCTCGATCCGGACGAAGCACCGAGAGCAGACCCTGCCCCGGGAGGGGCCTTTCCTCGTTCACGCACGCCCGGGCGCGTCCCTCCCCCCTCCGGCAAAAATGGGCGCGGTCCAAAAAGAATGCTCCCGATCCGGGAATTGAACCCGGGCCTCCCGCGTGACAGGCGGGGATTCTCACCACTATACTAATCGGGAGTGGAGATGATG